AAAAAAAAAAAAAAAAAACTTAACTTAAGCGGCACAGAGACTTATCACAAACGAGTATTGAAACAAATTTGTATTAAATCTGAACATCTGCGATCGATCAATTCGCTCGCGCCGCTTAAAAATTTCTCCGCGCGTGTCTCTCTCTCGGACCTCGCGCTTCTCCCGTGCGCTCGACCGTTACGGAGTGTCGTGTGTGCCTGATATATCTCGAAGTTTTCTCGTCACAGACCGAGAATCGTCCGCGCGCTATTAATGATCCGGCCGAAAACGGAAACAATCGATATCTCGTCTCGAAACTGCGGCTAAAACCTTTTCGTTTCAAAAGATAAAAATTGCGCTCGCGGATGAATTTTCCTCACCTATGGACAGTTATCGACCTGTGCGCCGGTCGCGCAAACTAACTCGTCCATCTCATACAGTAATTCAACGGCGCTCTCGCTCATATTACTGAAATGTTGCGCATGTTAAAAAAATATATATATTACTCTTGCGATTCTTCTGCGGATTGCAGCATTATATACATATATATAGAATACATATATATATATATATATATATATACATGTATATAGAAACTAACAAACGTTAAGAAACGTAGAATTTCCTTTTTTCTTGATAGCGCACTTAAAAAAAAAAAAAAACGACACCGCCATATTGTTAGTATGCTGTACACAGTTAGTCTGTTATAAAATATATATAAAAAATATATGTATAAAAATTTAAAATAGATCTTTTCAAGCAAGCCTATCAGTTGTATCTACAAAAAATGAAAAGAACTATTTTTTTTTTCGCACATGAACGCAAGATTATGCGCAGAAAGTCTTGATAACTGTCTTCGTTTTTTTTTTTTTTACACAAGTGAGCAAGAGAATGAGAAAGAGATACAGAGAGAAAGAAAGGAGGGGGAGCGAGAGCGAGTGAGAGATTTTACCACACAATTTTCTTATTCGCATGAAGTTAGAATAACGCATGTATGTGCAAACGCGTTTGTGTATATTTACTCACATTGATGTTTGTCAGCGAGCTGAACCAAAGGAGACGGCAAATCCCTCCGCCTGAAGAAGCACATGACTTTGGCTTCCACATTTCCACTTGCAGTCTGAGCGAGGCAAAACGAAAAAATAAAAAAACAAACAGAAGAATTAAGAAATATGTAATATATCGGATCTTCCTACGCTACGTGTACAACCAAGAAATTTGCATAATGCGTATTAAAGATGGGAAAATTTTAGAGATGAGGCAAAAGAACCAAAAATAGAGTTTTACATATTACTCAATAAAAAAAAAAAAAAAAGTGGTTGTATATATTTAGCGGTTACATCATCTCTCTTTATAATGTCTCTCCTTACCTTATTTAATTCTTCTATCCTTCTAATCTGATAAGGTGATCCACTGGTGGATTCAAAATACACGTAATCTAAAAATCAACAATCGTGTTAGTGCAATATTAATAAGTAACATATAATAAATATATAACAAATAAATATAAATATATATGTATATA